ACACTCCTAAACCTTGTGGACAGCCTTCCCAGAAGAGTTGAAGCTGTTCTAGCTGCAAAGGGTGGACCGACGTCATATTGAACCCTATGGATTAGGAACGGGATGTCACTTGAGCTCATATGTGAGTCAAGGCAGGTGAGCAAATACTTTTGGCAATATAGTGTATCATGATCACACATTTAAAGGGGGAAATATGAGGTTCTATTGTAGTATTATGGCTTAATTTACCAAATTAAATTGAACTAGATCATTTATAGGTTTGTGAACACTGTTTATTTTTGAAAAAGTCGGCTATGAACCTGAGCAAGTTCATGTTCATGTGTGTGAACTGAACATTTAGTTATGAACTGGCACAACATTGTCTAAAACTTGTCTTTAGCTGACAGAGCAACCCATTTAGAGCAATATATATATATATCACAATTCTAAAAAATTATATAAATATATTTTTTTAACCCAATAAAATATGTCAAAATACTCTATCCAGAGCTCTACAAGTGGAAATGTTTTAGTTTCTCCTGATTTAATTCTGTTAAAAATCTTATTTAGGGAACCTTTGGCTATCAGATTACTAATTGAATAATCTAAAAAATTATTGACAGATGAATCGATAGGCAAAATAATAGTTAATTACAGCAGGTAGGAATACACCACTATCTGACTCAATACGATGTCCTTGTAATCATACTTGTATCTGTAAATATGCTGCCACACCAAAGGACCAGATATTGGCATCATTTCCCTTTAAACAGCTAGTTTTTGCACAATACAGCAGCTGGTCTGTGGTTCATTGTAAGTTGCAGAAATACATCATAAAGAGAAGGCAAGAAGGCAAAGAAGAAGTGGTCATGAGAGTTAGCTTAACATTCACCCTTTGGTCCTAAATAATTTTTGTGGCTTTATACAAGCATTGCCACATTCGCAATTTATACTTACAGTATGTGTTGTGAAGCCCCATTTGCCAAGAACAATAAACCCAATCTCTGATCTCAATCTCAAAATGAATTGACTGGAATGCAGACTTGTCATGTTTCAGTTGCAATTTAATGCATGCAATGCAATTTAAATTGTTTCAACATAGAAGCAATACATAAATCTAGTTTTAAATTTAATGTTGAGAGCCTCAAAATTGGTCAAGAATCCCATAAGTGCTTTCTTTAGATTCTGAAAATCTCAATAAAGAGGAAATCAGTGATGGAAATGTCCTTTTTAAAATTATTAAGTCAGTTGCAAACAGCAATCTTATACAGATGACAAAATAATTCTGAAAGTATGTTGAATATTTGGTGCGTTTGGCATGAAGCTAGTCAGCTGTTCTGCAGAATGAAAGACAAATCTGAACAATAAACCAACAAAAATATTGCCTAAATTATTATCTACTAAATATTAACTATAAAGATCAGCACCACCATTTGTCTACAAATCCAGCAATGACATAACAAAGTGTGCTACATCCTTAACAGACTGATTGCACAACCCTTTCATTAGGTGCAGCAGCTAGACTAATGCCACTTATTTCTTATCAAGCTTTACATTTTTTAAACGATGAATGTACTTTGAGGAGCAGAGATCAAACTGAGGCCAGTCAGACATTGCTCATTTTCCTGAGAAAGTCTTTGCTGATCTCCCCTCCATGTTGGGAGGCGCTGCTCCACCAGAATACAGTAGATGGAAAGGAAAAATAAATAAAATAAAACAAGACCTTTAACTCGACCTTTCCACTAACTCACGCTCGTAACCTTTCCACTGCCCTTTGGCGTGCTGCAAGTGTTGATGACAACGATTCTGAGCAGGGGGAAGGTTGAGGCTGTGTGGGGTGTGTCTGGTTTGATGTGTGTGGTGCACTTGATCCTGTTTACATTTTAGTCCTCTGTATGTGCAAATAATCTGCAGATATCGCTTGTGCATGGGTGCCTCCTGAGCGATAGAGGAGCAAGTTGAGGCATCACTCAATGTCACCTCCATTTCAGGCTGATTAGAATAATTAGCCTGCAAATTACCTATTTTCAAAAAAAATCTAAGCAAATCTACTTTTCTGCACAGTTAAATGAAGGCCCCCATCGGCTGAAGGAGCATTGTGACTGTGACAAACTCTTTGCTGTGGGTGAGTGAAAGTATTCATTGTAACCGACTCATATTACTACTCATATCCTCCCACACTTCTCAGTGGCGTTTGTGGCTTCTTGTTTTCTTTTTTTATTACCTTTAAAAGTGCTCTCTGTGGGCATTACTGCAGGTTGATGCCACTCCGGTTTAATCAATTTAAATCCTAACCTAGGACTGATACAGTTAATCAGTTTACAGTTTCTTATTTGCAGACTGTCTGTTGAAAAAATAAGTCCTTCATATGTATTTATTTATTAAGCGTTTTGAGAAATTTAAACAAGGAGACCCAAGCATATAACCATAAAATCAAAAAAATAGGCAAAAAGATTACAGAAAATAAAATAGTTCTGCTAAAAAGAAGTGTCCAAAGAAACATAAAAAAAAATCCTCTTTTAACAGACTTTCAAAAAGGCCCAGTTTGGTGATT